TAACCCAAAAGCCTTCCTCCTGAGGTCTAGCTTCCATGGTACCAACAAATAAATATGCAAGCTGTCCAGAAAGAGAAGCAGTTAAACACACCTACCCAGCTGCAACATCTATGAACCACAGTAAATACTAATATAGCAAGATGTGCATAAAGGTGCAGCAAATGACACATGGTGGTGACAACCAACAGCTGTTTAATTGAACTTACAGTACACTCAACAGGAAGGAAACCTATTCTGGTACTTGACACCTAGCCAGCTTCCTACACCAGTGAGGTCACGGACCTTACATCAGGAGTTATTATTATTATTACTGCTTTTCTAGACCAGCATTAAATTCTTACTCTAGTCTAAATATTATCCTTATAACCACAGATGAGTGCAGCAACCACTTCTCATCAAAGAAGCCTCTTTTTATATCAAATGGAGACCATGACAGAAAACCACACCTGAACACAATGCAGAGGTAAGTGGATTATGAGGATCCCAGCCCCAAATGGACAAAACTACACACATCACAGCTCTATAAATCAGGGAATATCACTGAAGAGAGGGCATAAAATTTTTTTAAGAACCAGAATGCCAGAGAGTCTGCTGTGAACAGTCTTTCCTAGAAATGGCAGCATAAATGTTGGGAGCTGTCTTTGTAGGGCTGCAATCAGAACCAGCCGAGCGGCCAGGTCTGTACCTACGTGGGGGTGTGTGGATGAGGGAAAGGCTAACTATAGATGATAAAGAAAAGACTGAGAGACAGAATTAAGGTTACAAGGGCAGAGCAATCAATACTGAAATGCCACGAGTTTATTTTTCACCACTCTTATATACCTTATCCAAAAAGGGGAGTGCAGTATCATCTATAAGGAACAAACAGACTTTTCTTCCTCACTTATTCTAAGGGTTCAGTAACCATTCCTTAGCTCCAACTTCTAGTTCCTTAGCCTTGAGGTCAGGAGTAGCCACACCTCAGATTCAACTTCTCCTTCCCTAGCCTTGAGGGTCAGTTGCTATTTAGAATAAGACAGTCAAACATCCTACTGTAGCCACACCTTTGTCCTTTAGGTCTTTGACTTGCTGAGGACAGCTCTGAACTCATTGTCCTTGTGCCAAAATGGAGTGAAGCCATCTTTATGGGCACCCACACATAAGCAAGTCCCAAAGGATGGCAATATCAACAGACACATTAACATGGAAGGGGTCCCAACCTAGGCAAATAATAGTAGACAACTAAGGACTATAGGAGAAATAAGTAGCCTCTCCCAGGGATGAGGTCCCTTACTGGTTATGTAATACATAGTGGTTATCCCTGAAACCATATGCACACAAACAATAAAAAAAACTTAGCAGGTTGTATTTACATATTTGTGCAACTCATGCACACATATAAATTATATATATGGTATATATATTTATATAACAATTATAAACAGTAGCTATCAATGTAAGAGTGGGGGTATTGGAGGAATTGGTGGAAAGTTAACCGGAATTGGCTGGAGGAAGAAAAGGATTGGGGAAAGTGATACAATTTTATTTTAATGGAAAATATATTTTAAAAACAGCCAAAAGATAGGGAGTTATGAGAAAAAACACAGAAATACAGTTGAGACAAGTAATTGTGGAATAAAGTGAGATTATGTAAGAAGCAGAGAACTGTGAAAAAAAGTTGAAAGAGAAAATGATGAGGAGTACTGAGTACTGTGAAACAACAGAGAGCTACCAGAGAGAATGAGAAATTGCAAAAGAAAATGTAATTGTGGCAGAGAATTAAGAAGTGTGACAAGAGCTGGGGAAATGACAGCAGGTAAGAGTACTCACTGCTCTTGCAAAGAAACCCAGGTTCTGTTCCTTCCTAGTACCCAGGGATTCAACAACCTCTTCAGGCGTCCACACGTAGCTACATTCATAAGTACATAACCACAAAGAGACACAGATACACATAACTAAGATCAATTATTTTTTAAAGAAAGGAAAAGAACTTGAAGAGGCATGGAGAGTTCTGGAAAAGCCAGAACTGTGGTCAGAGTAGGGAAATGCAAGAGATAAAGAATAGTGAGAACTTTGAGAAACTGAGAGGGAATAGAGAACTGCCAGAGGAATGAGGAGGATCTGTTAAGGAAGAGCAATGAATGTAGGCAATTATGGAAAAGAATATTATGGAAATACAGCATGATTAATTAAAGAGAACAGGAAATAACAAGAGACATTAGGGAAGTATAAAGAGCATGCGGAATTGCAATAGAAGGAAGAACTGGCAGTGCATGAAGAATTAGGAGACAGAGGACATAATTGCAAAAGTAATGAAAGAAAGGAATTATGAAAGAGAGGACACTGTGAATAAGCCAGGGAATTGTGAAAAACAGTGAACTGTGGGGGACCTATAAGGAACTGTGAGGAAGACAGGACCATTCATGGGATAAAACAGGGCATTCTGGGAAAGACAAAATGTGCAAGGATTGTGGGAGACACTGAGCATTGTCTTCTTAAAATGTTTTTTTTTTTTAATTCTTAAAACAAAATACAAAGAACTATACAATAATATAATTATATTGGAATATAATTATCAAATTAATTTTTACAATGATTTGTGATTGTTAATGACTTATTCCCCATGGAAATATACTGTAGGTTGATGTAATACTTTTTGTTTGTTTTGGTTTTTGAGACAATGTTTCGATTGTGCAGCCCTGGATATCCTAGAACTTGCTCCGTAGGCCAGGCTGGCCTCAAACTCTGATTGCCTGCCTCTGCCTCCTGAGTGCTGTGATTAAAGGCATGCACCATCACTGCCCAGCAATATATTTTTAAATGTTATTTTATTATAGTTTCAAGGCCTTGTCTAGAAGACAGACCGTTCCCATTCCTGAGCAACTTGCTTAATTAAGCATACCCTCTAAACACTTTCTTTATTAGCCTGTCATACTCTGGACCACCATACACCATTCCCAGCCATTCCATGGTCAAACAATAGACTACTAATGCCAGCTCCAGGGCAGGTTGAAAATATCCAAATGAGCCTATCCAAAACATGTTGACACTGCCCCATCCACTCTTTCCACAGAAACCAAACTCGAAACTCTTTTTTTAAAAAAACCATTTATAGCCAATCATGTTTAAATGAAAACAAACTTTTAGAAACAATATTTGCGAATGTGACTTCAAACTGCTTCTTGGTGTTTGGGGGCACTGTCAATTCCATGGGGATCCTGAGAAAATTCAGAACCCTGGCCAAATCCTGGTTGTAGTGGTCTGTGGATCATCTGGGCCATTGTCCTAGAAGCTCTTATGCCCAAAGACTTTCTGTTCTTTTGCCTTGTGATCAATCCTGAAACATCCACATGCAACTGTCCCCTTCCATGACTTAGTGTGTATATTTCCTGTTTGGGGATTTATGAGTATAATAAGCTATCAATTTTATGATAACTGTCTTGGTTTGCTTTCTATTGCTGTGATAAACACCTTAAACAAAAGCAAGTTACAGAAGAAAGGAATCTGATAGGGCAAGAACTCAAAGTAGGAACCTGAAGGCTTATTGGCTTGCTTGTTCCCCATGGCTCATTTAGCTCTCTTATACACTCGCAGCAACATCTACCCATGGGAAACACCACCACAACAAATAGGCTGGGTACTCCCACATCAACCACTAACCAAGAAAATGTCCCCACAGACTTGCCCACAGGCCAATGTGATGGAGGAAACAACCATCTAGCAGCACAATAACCAACTCTGAAGTGCTGATTTACCATATACAAGTAATATGAAAACTTACTTTATATGAAATATAATATTTATATGAAAGCTGTAATTCCGTGATTGCATGGAGTACAGTCACAACAGTTGTTGGAGTCCCCAAAGGACTAGGCAAGGCAAGTTTAAGTATAGGTACTGAATTTTATTATCTTATTCCGTGAATAAGCACAAATACTACACGTTCATTAAAAAACGCAAAACGCAAACGCAAAACCTAAAGAGATGACAGTAAAGAAGAAAAAAAATAGCAATTTGACATCTCCAAAGCGACCCCTCTGCTGACTACAGCACACACTGAACACAGGTACTCACACTGACTGACTCACGCCGCTACTTTCCAGCCGGCCTTCTTGAAAACACCGCCCTGGCAGGGGAGGCGGGGTCGGGAGAGAAGGAGAGGGCGGCTATTGGCCTCGGAGCGGAAGGGGTGGGACCCGTCCTCCTGAGTGACAGGAGTTCTTCTCAGGCAGCGGTCTATCTTCCTGCTTCCGGAAGTCCCGCCTTCGGAAAAGGAAGTAGCTGCGCAGGAGAACGCCGGCTGTGACCCGGGCGTTAGCGGTGACCTGCAGTGAGGAAAGCGGCGGCGGCGGCGGCGGCGGCGGCGGCGGCGGCGGCGGCGGCGGCAGCAGCGGCAGCGTGGCGATTGGTCTCCGCCCTAAGTGTTTATCTTGGAGGTTCGACGCGGGCCCGGCCGCCCAGGGCAGTTCGAGGGGAGACCCGGGTACGAAAGGGCGTGCAGGTTAGATTGAAGCTAGTGGAGTGTGGGGACCGCGGACTGGTTCGGGTGGGAAACCCGTAGACAGGTGGTCAAGGCTGGCGCCCTGCACTTCTTCGGTGCTTCTTGGCCTTGCATTTTGGTGACACTCCCCTTTTTTGAACCCCCCTATCTTCTCAGAGGCCCAGCGCCTCCAGGGCAAGGGGGCTCGAGTATGGTTCAGCACACTCCCTCTCCTGGGCTAGGGTCACACCACTCCTAGGACCCCACTATCACAGACGTCTTCACGACGTCTCTTTCACTTTCCATGTTTCCAGCCTCTCAAAGTCATGTCCTCAAATGGTGGCATAGGTTTCACAGTATTGCCCCAAAGGAGGCAGTATTTTAGAACTGTCCCCAAGCAAGTGCCCTACCTCGTACTTTTCTGTGGGATAGGGAAGAAGAGCAAGGCTCAGCCAGTTTCAGAATAACAAGGGGATGGGATAGTCTGGTTGCTAAGCCTTTGCGTTTAAATAGGACTCCTTTCTTTGGCAGGTGGAAATTGTAGACTGGGAGTCGTCCCTGTGATTCCAGCCATGGGTTCCTCTGCATCTACTCCTGCTGCTGCAGTAAACACCTCAAATGCTTCAAATCATGAGCCACCTTCACCGCCTTCAGAATGCCCGATGCATAAGAGGGAAAGGAAAGGTAATTTGTCTGTTAGCTAGAAAATTAAAAGAAAGATAATGGTTCTAAAGGAAGAGGCTTATAGTTTGCTAGTGAGGCTTATAAATAAACCCGGGAGTAAGGCACCCTGGGACTGTTCCTAATTTTGCTGATCATTTAGACATTATTATAAACAGATTTATGTCTCAGTCTGTCATCAATAAGTGTACTACAAGACTGTGGTGATGATTATTTGAGATCATGCATGAAAACCTAGCAGTTCCATAAATCAACCCCATCTTTCAAAGGTTACCTGTACCAATGTCAATGGTTCTCAGCCATGGATGAGGAGAGCCATCATTCAAGGGGACGTTTTTATTCCTATCGATAGATATTTTGGGTTGTCACAACTGAGAGGAAACATAGTGGGATGATGACATATAGTGGAATGGGAGCAAAGATGCTACTAAACATCCTATAGCCGCAGACATGGATGGAAACTCTGGTTTGTAAATAATAATATTGCCAGAGCTGAGAAACCTCATACTCCCCTACCTGTTGTTGTCTTCATGTGTGTCTAACTAAGCCTTCCCCAGGTAAATTTATAGACCATTATGTCAGTGCAAGGTTGGAAACAAAACAAGTTCTTTAATTAGTGCATATCTGCAGATTCAGCAATGGGTGTTGCCCATTACATGTTAGTAGTAACATCCTACAAGGCGCTCCTACTTGGACCATCTGCTGGGATCTGACAGAGTAACCTAATTGAGGGCTGGCCATTTCTGCTTTTGATAGGTGAGATTGAGCCAATGTGGTATGCTTACTGTGTGTTCAAGCTTACCACATACTCGCGCTTCCAGTGTCATTCTTTCTCTCGGTTAGCTAGCCCACTCCTAGAGGTCAGCACTTAGTCTGCGACAAGTATTGCTGGGCTGTGTTTCTTGACATAGAGAGAAATAGCAATGCACATGGTAGACGAAAATCCTTTGCCTGACAAAGCTTACGTTTTCCCCTTTATAAGGAAACTAAGGTTTAGAGAAACTAATTTTTGTACTCCAAGTCATTTGGCTAGTAAGTGGCAAAGTTGCTGAAAATTCTGTAACCTTGGACAAGGACAAATCTATGTTTCCGGTATTTCTCCTTGCAGAAATTTGAGACAAAACAGACAAAGCAAGTGTGACTTTGCTCTGAGCTTCTGTTCTCTAGTAGTCTTCTTTATGATTTTATCGTATCTATTACAGAGAGTTGTCATCCTGGTTTATTTCCATTAGTAAAGAGTGTGTTTGGAGGAGAGTAACGGGCCTAGGTTATATAAAGTAGAAAGTATAGCACTATTTTCCCTAGTATCCACCTGAGATGAATGCTCTGGGAAGATTGTTCCTTTAATGATTGAGAGGGAGGTATTGCAGTTATATTTTCATTCCTAAAGTGAACAACTGTGTGAGTTATTGGACAATAAAGGCTTGGGAGGAGAGGCCAAGGAAGTGAAAAGAAACTTGTCTTCTATATATGACATCCAGCATACAGCATGTTCCTTATTTCCTACTGGTGCCTGGAACAAGAGAGGATCCCATGAGAGAAGCAGCTGTTGTACTGAGACACAGATCTTTACGTACCCTTGTGTTTACCTAATGTGTAGACAAGCTTCTTAGCCCCAGTACCTACCTGGCTCAGCACCCTAGGAGCCTGGGCATTGACTGCTACTTGTGCTGCTCTGTTCATAAGATTCAGAAGCATGAGTATATCATGGAACATTTTCTTAAAAATCTGCCTTTTCTTGCTGTAAAGCACTAGTACCTCAAGTGAGTGGCAATTTTCTGTGGCTTACTTGAGTCCTAGAACCAAACAGGAACAGGATGGCATTTACATTTTTCTTTGAGTCTCAGTAAAATCTGCTCATTTTCTGATCCTATACCCAGTATTTGAGGGAATGCATCAACAATAGATGGTTAGATAGTGGCTGCTACCTCATTGAGGACAGACTTGTCTGGAACTAGTGGCTGGAAGTCAGAGATACCCAATGAAGTATATGGCCAGCCCTCAATTAGGTCCCTCTATCAGATCCCTGCAGATGGTCTAAGTAGGAAGTTTGTAGGACATTACTATTAACATGTAATGGGCAACACCCACTGCTGAATCTTCAGAATAGTTTTTTTTTTTTCCTCCTAGGGGCATGAAAGAATTAAAAAGAAATAAAGAGAAAGTATATTTATAGCATATTTTCATCTTTAGGATTTTAGAAAGTTAGCTGGCTTAGTTTTTGCCATCTTTAAGTAGATGGAACTTTATTTTATCCACAGTGTTGGTCAGAAGTTTAGCCCTTCAAGGTCCCAACTAAGAGAACCCCCTCCACTTTTGGTATTGTATGTTAGCAATAACAGTGTTTTTTGTTTTGTTTTGTTTTTGTTTTCAGAGACATGGTTCTTCTGCGTAGCACTGGCTATCCTGGAACTCATTGTGTAGACCAGGCTGGCCTCAAACTCACAGAGATCCACCTGCCTCTGTCTCCCAAGTGCTGGGATTAAAGATGTGTGCTACTTCCACCTAGCAGTAACAGTGTTTTAATCCTTCATTATTTCAGGCTGTCCAGTGACTGCAGTATCATCTAATCCAACTAGTGAGAGCAAAGCACACTCTGTGCCTGCCCACCAAGATCGGGCCTATGAGTACGTGGCATGCCCTGTTACTGGTGCTGCAGCAAAGGATAAGGAGAACCTTGATCCTTCAAACTTGGTAATCTGCCCTCTTCTCTTCCCAGGGCATTTTATGTACCCATACATTCTCTACCATGGTCAACTGTGTCTCCTCAAACTATGAACTAGAATAAATCCTGAGTTTCTTCTTGCTGGTTATTTCATCATAGCAACAACGAAAAAAAGTAGTGTGACCTAAATATATCAGAAGTTTGAAACTTTGATGTCGGTTTAATGGTAATTTGTATTTCTTGTATAGTGAATTACTTTCCAAGGTGTACTGATTATTTTTTGGTTTATATCTTAGTGCTGACATTCAGACACAATCCACTGATTTTCTTTAGATGCCACCACCTAATCAGACTCCATCACCAGATCAACCATTTACTTTGTCTACCTCAAGAGAGGAATCATCTATTCCAAGAGCAGACTCTGAGAAAAAGTGGGTTTACCCTTCTGAACAGATGTTCTGGAACGCCATGCTACGGAAAGGGTGAGTGTACATATTATTTAGAAGATAATTTGCTTGCCTGCCACACTTACCTCAGAATTAAATGTTGAGTTTTTTTTTTTAACCTCCAAAAATACAGTAATTTTTAGTGAGTTAATCAGTTTATAATAGAATTTTCAGAGTTATCAGAATGTAAGTACAAAGCCAGTTTTCAAGGTCAGGGATTGTTTTAGACAAACAGAACAAACAGCAAGGGGTAGTAGAGTTGGTGGGGTGGTCAGGAACACATTTGTTACAAAGAAGTGGTTCCTATCATCATGGATGCCAGCAGCAAGTCCCAAGATCTGCTACCAGAGCGTGGGAGATCTGGGAAAGCCAGTGATGTGGTTAGTCAGTCAGACACCCTGAGAACCAGGGAGCTGATGATAGAAGTTCTGCCTGAAAATTGGGAAGCTTAAAATCCAGAAATAGCTGAGATTTAATTTCAGGTTGAAAATGTGGTAGCTCCAGCAAAGATACAGGAGTTCTGCTTGCTTTTGAAAAGGACTGTTGCCTTTGTGTTATACTTAGGCCTGTAACTGATTGAGTAGGATCTATCTTAGAAGGACGATGTGTTTTACTCATATCATAGCAATCATCTTTATAGAAATATAAAAAGAAACACTTATATAAAATATGTAGGAAAAAGTTGGCAAGTCATTTATCCGTGGTAACTAAATGAATAATGCCACCCTAAAAATAGATTATTCTGATAGTTTGGCTTTTGGGAATTCCATGCAATAACATTAAGATGAACTTTCTATCTTTGATTTCAGTGTATAAAAAGTGTAAATGATTTCATGAATGCATGAAGTAACTTTTCGACTTTATCAATAATTGTCAGGTTTTGCCACATGTTCTATTTTTAGGTGGAAGTGGAAGGATGATGATATTAGTCAAAAAGATATGTATAATATCATTAGAATTCACAATCAGAATAATGAGCAAGCTTGGAAGGAGATTTTGAAGTGGGAAGCCCTTCATGCTCAGTAAGTATATGTGTCTAAATTTTAAAAAAGTCCCTGCATATTTTTACTTCACATCATCCTTTCTACAGTGTTATTATTTAAATAATTTGTTATTCATTTGTATAGCAGTGATTATCCTTGTAGGTCAGACTGCAGTTTCTTACTCCCTGAGCTATAAGTGCACATTGCAGGGAATTTAGAATAAAGATGATTCAGCTCTGCTCAGATATCAGGCCATGGTCAGAACTGGCTGCTGCAGAGCTATGGGGAAGAGTTTACTGAAGGCATGAGCATATACCCATCTGGCAGAGGGGTGGCTGGGTCAGCTGCCTACATCTCTGCCTGGGTTCCAGCGGCTGAGTTCTCAAAAGTACCAGACTGAAGCCAGATCTCCTTTTCTGGTGTAGCTAGAAAGACTCAAGTATCCCAAGCCTGGCCAGAATCAAGTGGGAGATGGAGACCCTTTCTCTCAGTGAAAGAAGTATGGTAGGTCAGTCATTGAAATCACAGAAAAGCATGTTGGAAATGAGACTAAATTGCTTTGTGGTTCAAGGGATGTAGAAAAGAACTTTTTCTTCCTTCAGCAGTATTTGGAATCCTTGTAAGGATTCCTTAAAGATCTGTCTTCAGATGGGCCCCTTTTCTCAGATCAGTTGAAAGAATAGAGCTTTTCCATATCATCTCCTGGAAGGAGTGTTGCAATGCTACAAACTCGGCTCTTTTTCTTTTCTTTTTTTGGAGGGTGGGGATTGTCTGTCCCAGTCAGAATGGGTCACAGGCTTGATTTGATGTTTATGGAATTATGTGATACCATTTGTTTGAGACCACCACTTCTAGAAGGGGAGGGATGGGTAGTTATCTTCACAGAGAACCAGATCCTATCATAATTTGGTTTACATTTCAAATTCCTTCCAAATCATAATTATAAGTTTCTTGGACAAAAGCCACTTACTGCTTTATTTTTAAGGCAGTCTCTTTGTCTTTGGTATTTGCATTGAGTTTTTCAGTGTTAGCACTACATGAATGTTACTATCTGGATCCCAGGTGTAGGGTGGGTATACTTTGTAACCTCTGACCTAGAGGAAAAACCTTGCTGGCTAACTCAGATGCAAGTAGCTGTCATAACCTAGGTTAAAAATGTACTGTAATTAAAGCCACCTGCTTGTTACTTGTAACCTGACTTTAAAAGCAAAGAAATAGAAGCAAAAGGAATTCATCTTTTCAGCTTGATCACCTCTAGTCATTTTGCAGATTTCTGGCAAAATTAGTTATCTCATAAAAGCCCCCTCTATTGTGTCCAAAAAAAGTTACATTGATTGAGTTCACAGCTTAGCCTGTGACACTCTTGAGAAGAGATACTAGAAAGTCAGTAGCTCACACTCAGGCTTTGTTGTACGTTGGATATGGATTCTTTTTTTTCCTTTAACATGGTAGGAATATAGCTTGTCTTATGAATTGGGGTAGCTAACAAGATAAGTGACACCTGTCTTAATGGAGCAATCCTCCAACCCCCGTCAGGGAATCAGGCTTGTGTCTTTCAAGGGCAGGATCTTGAATGTCCTACCTGTGCCTGTAGGAGAACAGATCCATAAGGTAACTCAGTCAAGGTCTGTAATTAGGACCCTGCCAGTGTTCAGGTTCCTTAAAAAAACAGGTTCTGCAGTACTTGCAACTAGTTCCTGGAAGTCAGCCCCCCATTCTTTTTTGCTTCAAAAGTCTGTTAATTGGTTGAAATGAAACAATGAAGTCCTCTCACAGAATTGGACAGGTTCCAGGACATCCAAGGATAATAAAAGCCATATGTGCTGAAAGTCCCTTATATTACAACTTTATTGTATTTTCATACAATATGTGGACATCTTCTTACATATTTTAGGCAGTCACTTATAACTATTATAAATGTATTGTAAATAGTTGCACTGTTTTGTTTAAGGGAAAATGAAAGGGAATAAAAATCAGATATGTTTGGTGCAAATGCAGAGTTTTATGTTTATGACTGTTTTGGTTTTGAGATGGCCTCATGTAGCCCAGGTAGATCTCTGTGTAACGTAAGAATAACCTTGAATTTGTGAGTCTCTCCCTGAGTGCTGAAATTACAATTATACATTTCAGTACCTGATTTATGTGGTACTGAGCATTGAACCCAAAGCCTTAGGCATGGTGGGCAAGTGCTGTGCCAACTGACCTATATCCCCGGTCCTCAGATATATATATATATAGTGTTTTTCCAAGTATTATTAATGTACAATTGGTTGAATCTGTGAAAATAGTGTCCATAGAGCCAAAAGGCTGACTGTGTATAGCAGTTTGTATTGTTTCACTGAAGAAGCCCTAGCTGTTCTTTGCAAGAGAAAGAAGATACACAGTACATGACACATTTTCTGAGAATGTGACTGTGCCATTGTCCTAAATGAAAAAAAGGTCTGGCAGGAAAGCCAAGCAGAGCACAATCCAAAAGAACAGAGAAATGTTTCCAACAAACGGAGCCTATTTAATTCTATTAGAAGTTACTGTTCTATATAAATGTGATATAGCAAACAAATAGGAAATAAATACAGGGGGTAAAAAAAAAAGACATTACTGCAAAACTGAAACATCATCCTGTCAAAGGAAAGAAAATATTTTAACTATTCTTATTTGGCCATTTTCAGTGAGTGTCCTTGTGGCCCATCATTGGTCCGATTTGGAGGTAAAGCCAGAAAATATTCACCAAGGGCAAGAATTCGTTCCTGGATGGGGTAAGTGTAGAACTGCACATTTCCTTAAGCCATAGTCAACATGCTCACCATCAAAACCAGAGTGTAAGAAGAATGGTTCCATCTTCTAAAGCTTCATATCCTGCCTCCATTTCCTTATCTCCTTGAGTTTACCCATAGATGGGCAGAATATGGCTAGCTTCCTACTTCATTCTTCAAGGATTAAATTGTGCTTTTGGGTGGATCCTTAGAACTGCCCTTTTACTCTTCTTGTGGTCATTCCTCCCTTGTAGTATAATTGGGCTACTTAGTACACTGGATTTCTCCAGCCTCCTAGCTAGCCTTCTGGCCTGGGTCTCTTTCCCATGAACCTTATTCCTTTATGGACAGATGGTTTGACATAGACTCATCATAGTTCTTCAGTGTCACATTCTCTAAGCACCATAGACTGATTGCCTAAGTCTTATCTCCCCTGCTAGGTAGGCACTTGCATATGAGAGCAGGTATGTGAACATGTGCTGTTTTCCAGTCTGTCTTTCCCACACCTATACTGAATATAGACCAGCACTTTAACATTCACTGTTGTGTTTTCATTTCAGGTATGAGTTACCTTTTGACAGGCATGACTGGATCATCAACCGTTGTGGTACAGAAGTTAGGTATGTGATTGATTACTATGATGGCGGCGAGGTCAACAAGGACTACCAGTTCACCATTCTGGATGTGCGTCCTGCATTTGATTCATTCTCAGCAGTATGGGATAGAATGAAGGTTGCATGGTGGCGCTGGACTTCATAAACACTATTTTGTTTGTTCTGAAAATACTTTTTTTTTTTTAATGAGAAAGATGTTAAACTATTTTCCCCAAGCTAAATGCACTCATAATGTTCATAATTTTACCACAGGTGCTTTTCAAGTATGTAATCAAATTTGATCTTTCATGCAAAGATGCAATCTTCCATTAAATTCCATTGCAGTTGAAAATATGCATTTAAATTTTTAAATTTAATTTTTTCCCCATTTGGTGTAAGTGGGAAGTAGTCCTTTAATTTTCCCATTAACTTCAGTATCTCATGTTTGAAAGTGTGATGCTTTTACCTGCCAAATATTTTAACTATACTCATTATAAAAGAAGCACTTAACCAGTGTTTTTAAAGTAACCAATATTTCTTAAACCTCTGCAATCTAAGTAGTAACCCGGAACAAAAGCAAAAGTATATATGGAATGGACTCTGCAAGATTAGACCTGTCAAGTGTATTTTCAGATTTGACCTTGATAGAATTTTCAACTCAATGAAACATGCAAATTTCAAAATATTTGCTTCTCATTCCTGTTCTAATGTAAATAACTACTAATGAAGAGCTGGTTTCACTGTCCCTGAAAGCCTGAAAGTTGACAAATAATCTTGTTATTATATCACATCCCAGTCCATTCTCCCACTAAGAGCTTGCCCACAGTAACCTAATATAAACATTGAAAGCCTGACTCCAGTCACAGGGTCAGCAGTGTCCCTTTTAAAAAATAAGATATTGCCTATGTGTTAGAATTCACAAGAGGTATTTTTTTTCCTCAGATGTGGAATATTTGCATCAATTCACCATCAGTTTTATGTTTGTTTTAAGCAAGCAGTAAATTTGCTGCTGAAAAGTGATTTTAATTTTAATTATAGCAGCATGTTAGAAATAACTTGTGTTTCTTAAGTGTTGATACAATGAAAAAATTTAATTTATCCTAAATATTATTGTGTTAAATTAGTGGATGGTGTTGGTGTTTTTGAGTTATGAATTTGATGTAGATTTCTTTGTTGTATGATGCTTCAAAAACCCAACATTTAAAAATATTTGTATTTTTTAAATAAAGCTGACAGTAAAAAGGTTGTGAAACTGCTCAGAGTGAGTTTGTAGTTAATATTTTTTTCAGGCACAATCTGTAGTTAGATATTCACTCTGTCCACACCTGTTGCACTGAACATGCCCATTGGGGTTGGGGACAGGGGCCGACATGACCTGGGGGAAATAGGTCTGGGGAAGGGGCCCCAGAGTGCTCTCCTGCTTGCTGGATGCTGGACAGAGAGAGCATTCCGACCAGGAACCTGCTGGCGTTCATCTGTCTCACTTGTAAGTTAGTTCTCCCTGAATAAACATCTATTCAGCCTGTTTTTCCCACCTTATTCCACAGTAACAATCTTCACTAAATGCAACATTGGTCTCTGTTAATGATATAATTTTAAACTGCATAAGAAGGCATCACCTTCCCTGTGGAGTGGGATGGGGGAGAATGGGATGGGAGGGTTGTCAGGGGTCATGGGAGGGAGGGAGAGGGAACTGGGATTGATATATAAAATAAGGAAAAAAAATTTTTAAAGAATGTAATCACTGTTGGCCTTTTTCACAGCTGCTATTGATTGAGTATAGGGTAACGTATTTTTGAGAAACAATATTATGGCTGGAAACTAAAAATTAAGCTGCATGCAAGGGTTCTCAATATTATAGTGATAAGGTATTGTGAAAGTCAACTGTCAAGTAAACTCAATTATAAGATAAACAGTTTTATGCACCCTCTCACCACCTGTAGAAAAGACACCTGCTAAATACTCAAGAGTTGCTTTGTAGTTAGATTACACTTAAGTCTGGCTAGGGAGTAGAACTGTGCTCTAATAGTTTTTATAGAACTTGAAATTCATTTTGGATCTTCAACAAGCCTGTAAACACTTCATGTGGGAGGTGGGAGCTGAAAGATAAATTAAGGTCATCCTTAGGTACATATCAAGGTTCAGATCAGCCTGGGATAAAAAATGAGAGGGAAAGGCCATTTCAATGAAGACTGAGAAACTGACATGCTTAAATTGGTTCCAATTGGTTGGTAACAAGGGAACTGAAGTGGCAAGTTAAGCTGTTGACTGTAACTGGGTGACACTTAAGGATGATTCTGATCTGCCCTACTGTTTACACTCTTACTCCTTTTATAGATTCCTGAGGTTCCTGTTCTGGTTTCTCAGTCTTTACTCATCAAGGACTGTTTCCACAAGACTCCTGAGGTCATTTTTTAGGAGTAGGGGAGTTAATTGTTTTATGACTCAGTTTCAACATTGCACTTTGGTCCCTGAACAAGGTGAATGCCTTTGTTCAGGCTACTATAACTAAGCACCACGGGTGGGGGAACTTTATACCACAGACATTGAACCTTGTCAGTTTTAGAGGCCATCAGTAGGAGATCAAGGCAGGTATGAGTCATTGACTGGCCTTCTGTTTCATGGATGACAAATCTTATGATTCTCAAATATAGAAGGAGCAAAGGAAAACCAGAGTGTCCTCTATCATCATAATCTAACCACCTCTCAAAAGTTCCATAACCCTGACAAGATAACTCCCTAGTGCAATAGTGGCATATGGGAACAAGCAGCTACATTTTGACTGGAGCTAAGGCCATGTCCATGAGAGAGAGCCCACATCTGATACTATTTAAGAGGCCAAGAATGTGGGGCTGGGGGAGCTCTCAGCATTTGATGGCTGTTAGAAGAGAGAGTTGGAGCCCTGGTAAGCCGACCACACACAAGACCAAACCCCAATCCCAAGACTAGTGGCAACATAAACTGGACTTGTTGGGGAAAGAAAACCAGAAAAGGAAGTAATTTTAAAGTTGGGTAGAAATGGAGTATTGAAAGTTGTTTGTGGTAGAATTTGGGGAAGGTAAATATCAAAATACATTGATTGAAATTCTCAATAAAAATATTGCTTAAGACTCACATAACACTAGAGGTTATAGGATTTTTAAACAGATACAAACCACAGACTGTAGCAGGAAGAAAACCACACATTAAAATTAATAGAGAAACTGGGACTCCAAAGTAAGAAGGCTAAAATATGGCAAGGCTAGAAGCAGGAGGAAGAAGACTAGACAGATATAAATGGAATGGATGATACATACATACATAAGAAATATGAGCACTCTGGGATGGCATAGAGTAGTTATTTAGCTTGGCTTTTAGATGAGATAGTGTCCTGGGAACGAGCCAGGAGCTTGGGCTCTCACTTTCCTCAGTACTGGCCTGTGAAAATCTTAGGTCAAGGACTTTTTGCCTCCCTGACTCCAGGGTTGTTTACGTACTAAATGGCCACTGTTCTGAAATTAGGCCTTTGTCTTTATTCAACAGAGTATTTGATCACTTGCAGAGTCCAGTGAAAAATGACAGGAGGTGGGCTTGTTGAAAAGAACTAACATTTCAAGACAGCAATACAACAAGCATCCAGAAGAGTTAAGTGGAAGACTGCAAAAGCACAGAGTGCGCTCTGGTCACAGACATAACTTCCTGTCTTTTTGACAAGTTCTCATTGGTTCCACTTCCAGGAACACTCTTTACTGCAGAGGTGTTTCACTTTGAAGTGCGAGCAGCATTTAATCATAGTTAGATCTCTCAGACTTTTCACCTTGGAAAAATACAGGTGGATAAATGGGTGAATTCACCAATTCATTCATTTTTTTCAACAATGTATGGTTTGCCTACCACTGGGATGTATTTTAGGTTTGTGTGACTTACCAACCTCTGCTGCTCTTAGAACAGTATTGTTCACAAGAGTGACTTTTGTCTTGACTGAGATATCCTTGAAGGTGTGTGTATCTAGACATCCTTTATATCTTTCAAACTCAGGAGCCTGGGACTGGAGTTGGTAACCACTAAGCCCTAGTATAGATCATTAGAAGAGGCCATCAAACCAATCATTTGATCTACTGAAGTGAACACAGTGCTGTCATACTTCTTTGAAGTAAAAGAAATTTTGAAGATGATGCCTATGGGCGAGTCATTCTATCTGTTACAGGGAACTGTTCTTGGGGAAACAAACAAATGTCTATCCCCTCCTTGTAAGTCCCAGGGCAATTCCACTGAAGGCCAGACTTTTTGTTGAGCCAGGGTTTACTGTGCCTACAGGGCATGGCTAAGGGCTATTTATAGGGATAGGTGACCCCTCCCCGCCCCACCCAAAATAGCTGCATCACCAGAAAGCCTCGCAGCTGATGGAGTTACCCACTTAGCTATCTCACTATCCCTTATTACTTCAATCAGCAACAGAGCAGGATCACAGGTTGCTTTCTTTCACTGGCCCACATAATACAGAGAAAGGGTGCCAAGAGTCTTCATAGGACAGAGATGTTTAAACAATGGTCTCTCCATGCTTTTCAGTCCCTTTGCAAACCTTTTTCTTTAGAAACTGTGCACCTGTGTCTGCATTTGCAAGGAGCTGATGGCCTTGTATGGCTTCCCATTGCATGTGGCAAATGACTTGATAAAAAGCAACATGCCTATGTTCAGAATGCGTTTATCAAGCATATCACAAATAGGTGTCATATCTCTCTGCCTGGTTTAAAAGGTGCAAAACCTGCAGAGCCCACATCCTGAGGTAAAGAGCCTTCAGATAAAGCTATAGACAGTAATGCTAATGGATAGTGATGTTTCTCAATGTGACTGAATCTTGTGCAAAAAGCCAGATGGAGCTACTATCACTATTTGTGTTAAGAGAAATTTTAAGCTAATTCAGTTCAGAAAATGGTGCATAACTGAATAGGGAGTATGAGGAAGAATATCTGAGGCCTTTGGAACAGAAATGTGACATTGTGTCCTGTACATAGAAATGGGGAATTTCCTGTACTAAACTAGAATATGGTTTTCTATGTGCAAAGAACTGAGAGACTACAGATGGATGACACTGAACTCTGGAGGGTTGGTGTGAGACATTTGTACAATGTGTGAAAATGTGTTGCTGTGATTAGTGTAATAAAATGCTGAGTGGCCCATAGTTGGGCAGGAAGAGGTTAGGTGGGACTTCCATGGGGGGGGGGGGAGAAAGGCAAAGTCATTAGCCAATCATAGAGGAAGCAGGATGGGCAGAGAGTAAAGGTAACTGAGTCATGTAAAAGACCTACCTTGAATGTGCCACCAGTTCAGTAACTGGGAGAGATGGGCAGAATAAAAGGGGGAAAGGAGAAAGCTAGTAGGGTGCCAGCATTTTCAACCCTAATGGCAAGGTGTGAGGCATCTGTCACAAATTCTTCAGACTGCTCTCTCCACCTTGCCTTTCCATCATCATGGAGTGTGTCCACTGAAATAATAAACTCAAATAAGTCCTTTCTCTCTTAAATTGTGTCTGTTGAGTATTTTGCCACAGTGATGAGAAACATGACCAATAAACTAGGTGAGGCTTTGGGTACACCGAGGGAAGATGCTCCCTAGCCAAAGATGTGGGCTGATACAAAGAGAAACTGGAGTTCAGAGTAGCAGTAGAGACACAGAGCTGGCCCTTTACAACTGTTGGGACGCTGTGGGACATTCACTGAGAATTTCAAGCAGGGTATTGGGAGCCAGGTGTGATATTAAAGCTAGAGACTAGGCTTGCCAGATTTAGCAAATATATGTCAGAAAAAACATGGACTTTGTTTTCAATATAAATATATCCCATACAAAACTTCAGGGGAGGAACCATTATTTGAGTATAAGCATATGTGAGACATACTGAGAATAACATGCTGCTAAGGCCTTCAAATTGAGTAGACACTGTATCTTATTTGGTATTTATACTTGAGACGTACCAGGGTCAAGTGTCCTATATCTTCAGCCCAACTGGCTCCAAATATATAGGAAATAGCAAGGGCTTTTGTTTAGGTTTGGGACCCTTTATTGCTAACATGACACAGCTACAGCAAACTAGAATGTGTTAGTCTCTGTAGACTAAATGAATACAGGATTGAGCTAACTGAACATTGGCTGCCCGACCTTTCTGCCCTTGGTGGGCTGAGGGCTGTGTTAGGTAGGGATTCTGAATTCTAGTTCAGAATCTCTAGGCTGCCATCCTTGATAAGAACTTTCCTTTGAGTTGTAGGTAGT